CACATACCTCAGAGCCTGATAAAAATTTCAATTTTGTGTGCTTTTTTTGTTGTTGTTTGATAATATTTTTTTGTTGATCCTTGGGGTTTAAAGGATCAATGGTGGTTGCATGTGTGTACAAGGATTTGCATGACCTACTTCTGACAGACCAAGCCATGAAGAGTGAAACAGACAACCAAAGGTGCCGTTATTTTCATATTACTCCATGTCGTTTACCTTAAAAAACACATAACACGAATACACATAAGATCTAAGTTCAACTAAACTGAACTGAGAAACTTTCCAAAAACCCTAACTAGGGTTGGAAGACTCCCTGCTTGTCTCTGACCATTCCACCTTCATGAAAAATTGGCCTGAATCTACAAAAAATATGTAATATTGCTTCCTTGGTTCTGGTCCATTTTCAAATACAATTTCTTCATAGGTATAGCAACTTCAGGATAATGGCCGTAACTATGAACCCCAAGCCAGAGAAATTGCGAGAGGATGTCATCCTACAGTTCAGAAACCTAAAGGTAACCTGAAAATTAGTTTCTATGCGTTGTTTTGATTTATTCTGACAAGATAAAATCTATTTTCAGGTCTTGACGGCAGAGAATCGCTGTATGTTTTGGAGTGGCCTCAGCAAAAGGTAAAAAACTACAATGTATTATTATATATTATATATTGTATAGTATTTATTCCTTCTTAAATTAAATTTAGTATGGAGGAGAATGAATGAACTTTCTCAGATGCTTTTGCGCAGATGAACACTTTCCTGGAAGCCAACATGTTGTCGTTTTTAGAGAGGGGAAGTCTGATTGAAATGTTCTCGCAACTATAACTACAATAGAAGAAAATCTTGGCGCAAAATTGTCAAACATCACCTCTTCCCCAAACAATGAATAATTTTTTTTAACTTTACTTTTTTATTCATGTGTGACAGCTTTTCAGAGGAAGGTTGTCATGTAATTACATCAAAAAGTAACTCAGAAGAAACAGTTTGCAGTTGCAATCATTTGACGCATTTTGCCGTCTTAATGGACTACGACGGTAGCACAAAGGTAATAAAGTTATTTTTGCCTTACTTAATAGTTTTATGGGCTCAATGAACTAACTCAATGTTGTCCTTTAATTTTTCTTTTCTTGACACAGCTCACCGAAGAGGATGAAACCATTCTGAAAGTTGCCAAATACGTGTGTGACGCTTGCGACGAAAGAGGAAACTTCGAGGGGTGTCGCTATGCGTGTTTTCTAAGTGTCGCTGATGTGGGACTATTTTACCGGTCGTAATGAAACCACGAAAACCAAGATGACTATCAACGGTGTTTATTTAGATCACGGTCACGATCACGATCGTAAACTGAAATTGCAATAATATTATAACGAAAGCATGAATGAAACGCTTTACGTGCCTATGTCGATAACGCGATTAAAATAACAACAATCAACGTGAATTAACATAAACAAATCATAAAAGGCTAAATTAAAACTAATCGAGATTCAAAGATCGGCTACACAATGACCATTTGCGGCTGGTTAACAGCCCAAAGACTAAAATGTGGGCGTTACTGCGAGCGTCTAGTTATTTCAAAATATTCCTTCGATTTCAAGATAATTAGTTGTACTGTTGTACAACACAGTACATATGTGCGCTATCGCCCAAGGTAAAAAACTAAACTTAAACATATAGAATTAAAACTAACAAAATCACTTACATATCGGTCCCGCTTGTGCCAAAGGTTTGGAACGAAAGACGAAGTTGCTGCTGTTTAAGGTGAAATCTTAGAAACTCTGGCTTATAGGGACGCTAATTTAGTTTATATATGCGCGTGGTGACGCTAAAATATCCAATTTCAAACCAATAAGGAAAAAGATAAACATTGTAACTAAGATCGTAACTAGGCACGCAAATTAAAGTAATTGACAATTGATCTAAACAAAAAAAAGGCTGTTCTTTGTTCGATATCCTTAACAACGTGGGACTGAGCCTTTCCATAATCGGAATACTTTTAATATTAATACTTTATTCTTGCCTCACGTAAGTAATGCACTTGATTAATAATGACGTAGATTCTTAACTCCCCTCAACAAGGCTGGTGAGAAAAGAGATCGCAATGCCAATCTCCATGCAAACAAGAACAGTCATGTCAGATAATTCACAAACTCAAACTACATTTCATGCCCCATCACGAACTTTTGAACAACTTATGATTTCACTTTTTATGAATTTTTTAAGGTTTAAACATTTTCTTCGTAATGTTTTCTTTTTTTGTCCTCTCCGGAGCTATTTACTGACTTTCTTCTTTCCTTCGCTGTCAAGATTTAGTTAATTTTTTGCCATATTTTCCTGTGTGTTGTTGCTTTTGTCTCATTCATTCTTCTTCTTTTTAATATTATTTTACCAGAGATGTTCGTAAACCTCTCTCTCAAATTCGACTGAGTGTTTTTATGTCCCTTGGAGTTGGACAAATTATCTTCCTCGCTGGAATAAACGCCACAGAAAACAAAGTTAGTAGCCTCTCCTTTTATCCATAGAATGAATTTACTCTTTGCTCCGTAAATATCTTGTCGAAAGAAGCTCGCTAATAATTATACGAAAACTCGTCCTTTCCACAGGCTGCCTGTGTTACGATAGCAGTTCTGATGCAGTATTTCTTGATGGCCGCTTTCTGTTGGATGCTGATCGAGGGAATTTATCTCTACTTCTTCGTTGTGAAAGTTTACAACATTAACACCAAGATGTACATGTATCATGTCATCTCATGGGGTGAGTTTTGTATTTTAAAACATGCACTGGTAACTGTAACCACGCTTTTGGATCGCCAAATCTAGTGTTGTCATGCAGTAAAGTGTTGTGATTTCCTTCCTTTGTTCATGGGTAGGTCTTCCAGTGATCATGGTGGCCATTTCACTTGGCATCGCTGCTGGAAAAGAAGGGTTACAAAGATATACGAGTGATAAATGGTAGGAAAAAAATTAAAGGGTTTCTTCTTGCTCTTCTCCTTTTAATTTGTTGCATTTAACTCTTTGTTTTGTTTTTGGATATAGTTTGAAATAGGTATCATTTTATTTTCTGACAATTTGTGTTTCTTTCTTGTGTTTCACTTCCTCGAGTTTAGTTGCTGGCTTTCCTCAACTAATAACCTGATCTGGATATTTGTCGCCTTTGTGGCTTTTATTGAAGTCGTGAGTTGACGATTAGTGTTGGTGATTGTGATTGGTATACCTGGAGTAATTGCTGCTAAAGATTTTTTCCTCTGCTCTTGAAAACGAACTAATTATTTCTGATATGACCCAAGACAATATTTACCGTTTTCTTTTTCCTATTCACTCACAAAAAGCTTTGGACGTAGCCGCTATTTGCGGGGATCCTGGTTTATTTTAACCTAATGATGGTCTTCAATAGCGGGGAAAACCTGTGGAGACAATATCCCCACAGGCAAAAGATAGCTTCATAAATTCTCCAACTTTTACCACATAGTATGAAAAAAAAATTCTCCCCCTTCCTTCAACGCAAAAATAACTCATGAAAAAAAACAAAACAAAAAAGATGAAAAATATGAAAGGAGCAGGAAGATTAGGATTTATTGAATTTATATAATTTAACATGAGACTATACTTGGCGTGGTTCTTTCAGTTTAGAGACTTATGTGCGCGATTTCCTCTGCTCATTGGCAGAGGATCGAAGCTCCTAATCTTGGTACCCCGGTTATGGGCTCTATCCCCTGTAAATTACTCTTCATCTCACGCTTGTTACCGAATCAGTAACTTCCTTGGCAAAGATCCTCCCCTGCTTTGGCTATTCGACATCCATGTCTAAATAGTCACCTTTTTTTTCCATATTTTAGCTCAACATTTTGATACTCCTACGAGTAATAAGTGAGATGAGCAATTTGTTGCAGCCAACAGGGGCAGACCACCATTTTCAGCAAATACGGTGAGAATCACAGCATAAAACTAAAAAAGGTAGTGAAAGACATTGTCATGCCCTCCTGTGGGGCTATATTTGCCTGGCTTTCTCATTCCTTAATCAGTAAGGCATCAAGATATCTAACAATGAAACTTCATTGTCAAAGGAAAGTAAAAGAATGTTTTTTTCTAACTCCTAGTCTTGGCATCAAAACATGCGCGGTGATGACTCCCCAGCTGGGTGTCACGTGGCTATTCGGTCTCCTCTCGCCTGTACATAAAGTTTTCGCTTACATCTTCACCATACTTAACTCTACTCAGGTCAGTGTTCGATGGTAACTGTAAAAAGTCATTAATCTCTATTATTTATTTTACTTTCTGACCAAGTGAGACATCATTAGGGTGGTCAGATTATGTTGTTTTGGAATTTTTAAAACAAAAGGGTGTCAACTATGCAAGAGAAGACAGACTTCTTTTTCAATTATATGATATGCAATTTTCCTTCCCTCTTGGAAATCTTAATAGGTACTTTGTCTAATTTGTTCGCATATTGTAAAAATTAATGATCTTGAAATCATGTTTATGCTGCAGGGTTTCCTGATTTTCGCTTTACACGGTTTGCGAAACACTCAGGTAAGAAAAAACATTAGACCGATTCTACACCAACTGCATCTCATCAAGTGTTGGTGTTTCAATAAATATCCGAGTGCTAAGAACCATATTCCTTGTTGCTCGTCTATCTGCAGATCAGAGAGCGATTTGAAAGAAAGATGAACATCGTTTTTCCATCTTCCATAAAGGGAAACTCCACAAGGAAGAGCTCACAGGTCAATCCAAATGAGGTTGGGAATGTATGGGCAATTTAATTGCAGTCATGTGCTGAATTTAAATCGAAATTGTACTTAAGTTAAATAACTTGATTCAGCCAATCGGAAATAACAACCAAATACTTAGAACAATCACTTAGTTAACAGCAATAAGTCGCTTACGATCGGTCTGAGTTACGATCTGCAGGTAAAAAGAGGTCTGTTTCTCCATTATTGTTTGAGCATTCAACTAGTTGTCTTTGAAACCTATCATTTTTATGATAATAAGTTTATTTTCTAGGCGATCGTATATTTCCAGGCAAGAATCATCGAAATAGACCAATCTATAAATTTAAATTCCTAATGGCTCCGTATGCTGATGACTGCTTTGTTTCACTTACTTAGTTTACAAACTTCTTATCAAACATGTTATTATTTTTAACTATAAGCTATGAATAGTCACTGAAACTATCAGTTTCCAGAAATTTCTAGAATATTTAGTCATGCTGACATGCATACAAAGGAACTTTTCTGCAAAATTTTATTAGGTTACGTAGCTATGGTGTAACACCACTAAAATGGTTGTTGTAAGCTTCCGGAATTATCTGGAACACTTTGTACAAAAGGACTCAATCGTGCAGCAGTAGTAGTTGTTCTTGTCGGGAGTGACTGATTTTTCAGAGAGTTATAATGAAAGTGAGCCACTTTGGAAGATTGTTAATTTTGAGGAACTTAGGAGACAACTGTGAGATTGCGTCAGTGGTGAGCTAAAATGTAATTTGTAGTGGGCTTAAATAAGCTTATTTAGCATAAAAAGTGTACTTTCTTTAAGAGTCGCTCCTTAGTAAGAATATTAAAGTTGTTTAATAGCGTTCTTTCTGTCGGTTAAATTATACCGTAACAAAAAAATGCCTATAGTAGCAGCAGCTAAAGTTGACGTTCAAAAGTATATTATGGGTCAACCAGGAAAATGACACCGACATTACACTTTCAAATAAACAAATAACTTTTAACGACATCCCCCGTTTAACTCACCTAACCGATTTCCCAAGACGCAGACTACACCTTTTCGTTATTATGCTAAAATTATACATTTACCCTTGAAAATGTTTAGACAAGAAACTAAACATGCAGGAATTTAAAGAAGCCCATCCCTAATTCACAGATTTTTCCCGGGAAGCCTTTTTTTCCTGATTTAACCAGCCAATTTAAACAGGCACACTAAATCAAAGCCCAAATCTTATCTTTTTAGTTTTCTACCAGCACTGTCTCTGAATTTACTTCGTAGTGTTCGTAGAAGGTAATTAAGGTTCCGTTTCGTAAAGTACTCAAGTAATTATAAGTAGGCAAGTGAGCTTAATTAGCGAATTGCAAGTTTTGTATTGTAATGTATTTTAAGTCATGTTCTGTTTAGTAACGTTATGTAAATAACATTACGCTGTAAGTGAGTGTTACTAAGTGACTCTTAGAATAAGTAAGAATAAGTAAAAGTGACTAATCCAATAAGTACAGTAATGTAATAAGTAGAGTGATGTCGAGTAGTGTAAGTAGAGTGATGTAATTTAAGTTTAGTTTCGTACAAATTTTTTTTCAATAAATGTTTATTAAATTTAAAAAAAATTTAAAAATTAAGTTTACATTCAGTTGTTGCTTAATGAACAAATAGATGAATACGCAAATGGTTGAATATATAAACAGATAATTTAAAAAGGACAGAAAAATCCTTATGATTGGATCGTCTTTGATCTGTTATATTTGCCAGTTTTTCTCCTTTTTTTTTTTCCGCATCGCTAAGATAAGGAGTACCATTTTGAATCGAAAATACATCGAATAATTTGGAATTCAATAGGGGCGACGTAAGCCGGAAATGGCATAAACCTATAATCTCTTGCGCAAATTTCATTAAACAGCGATTAAGGAACTTTTACACAGAGTAGACAATTTAAAGGAAAAAAGCTCAGCGATAGAAATGCGGAATATTTCCAAGGGCGTGGCTTTCAAATATCACTACAGCGGAGAGACTAGCATTGAAGAAGAATTTCAACCAGCAAAAGGAGGAGTTGAACATGAAGATGTGCCTAACTCGGTTTACAACAGGCTAAGTTACGTCGCACCTATTTATAAATCAGCATGGATGAAGAAGCGTACGATTTAGGCGGAAGAAGTGTTATGTCAAACGTTTCAAGCTCGATTGGCTAACTTAATTGCAGCTAAGACTACTTGATATTTTGACCCCACCGCTCCTTCAAAAATGTTGGACGTCAAACATCTGGACACAAAAGTAATGATCTGCATGACGCTTTTGCATGGAAGAGTTGTTTTGTAGGCTGAACGCTAAACTATGGCCGTTGGCCTCCGTTAGTTTTTTTGATCAATTAACGGTCAACTTCACGTAAACTCGCATCGAACTCACGATCTAAGAAAACCGAGAAGGAGTCCTCTGACTCGGAGTTTGCCGTGCTGTAAAAATAATTATACATGTTATTAACACATGAATGAGTTAACCCACCATATTTTTGAGCTGCTTCTCTATAAAATTGGAATTGTAAAAGGTATTTTAATACCGTGAAGTTTTCCTATTATATTAAGAAAAACAATACTTCACATCTGGTGCATATCTATTGGTCCGTCTTTGACGGGAAAAAAAATGGAGGCAAACGCCATGAACAAGCTATCAGAGATCATAATTTGCATTAAATTCTAATTCGTGCAAAAGTGTTTTATAAAGATGCCGCATATCCGCAACTCTCAAGCTTGGAGAATCAAATATTAGTGTAACGATACCTTTTAACAGCAACCTTTGCATATCTTGGCCATGATGAAGTGGATAATGCAAGGAACTGAATCCGGCAAAATTTTCAAAACTCTATTAACATATTTTGTGCTGGGTAAGTACCACGCTAGTCATTCGTGTTTGTTGGGCGGTAGCCATCAAATTGCCTGATGAGTACAACTGAGTCTGACAAAGAGAGCAAAACATTTTTTAAAAGTTGTGCGCTTGTTTAGTAACCACCTAATTATATCTTGATTTTTCTTTTGCGAAACATTTATATCGATTTTTGAACGTCCTGTGAAATTTGGCCAAACAAAACCGAAAAAAAAATGTCAATTGGCGGTTATTTGGCACTGTTGGTTAAATCAAAACAAACCAGATTCTAAAGATTTCCGCATTAAACTCTTAGTTTATAAAGATCAGAGAAGGATACATTAAAGTTCACATGGCAACCAGGTGGACAATCAGACATAGTTTGATGCTACACTGGTTTGCAGATTTAATGAATGTAACCGAAGAAGTTACAATTCGTAGACCCAACGTTTCGACACTCCTGTCTAGTGCCTTCATCACCCCTGACATGTGACGCAGTGTAATTCCACTTTTAACATTTATGCAACTAAAAATGAACTGGAGAAAAAAAAGGTAATATCTGATTGATTATCATAATGATTAGTCATAGACTTATTATATTATTATTACATCGGATTGTGATTCAAAACGTAAGTTGAAAGCAAAACAAAGAAGTCGTAGAATAACGGTGCTACCTGATCTCCTTTTTTCCACTTTTAAAGCCTTTTGCTTCAGTGACGTAGAGGGTTTTGATGTCCATTGTTTGCTAAAATTAATGGTGTCAAAAATACTTTCTCGTCTCCATCATTATTGTTATCACTATTGTTATCATCAATATACGTTTTTTCGTTCCTTTATGTATTCGTTTATTTTTTTCTCATAGAGTGCCAACCAACCTGTTTCAAAAACTCCTCTTACACATTTTCGAAAAGCGGAACAAGATGGAACTTCAACTGGTATGTCTGCTGGTACCAGGGAGGTTACTTAGTCTCTATCGAAACTGAAGAAGAATGGCAGTTTATCAGTCATGAGATTCAAAAGCGTATTGCTTGGAATACTAGTGCATGGCATATCGATTTAAGGAAGAGAGCCGGAATTTGGACCTGGGAGAGTGGACAACAACTAAATATTTTGAAATGGCGTGATTCTGAGCCAAGAGGTAACGACAATTGCGCGCCGCGACCCAATTTCCTGTAACACGAAATTCCCAGATCACTGAAAACCTTCTAAAATCATCTTTCTCAAGAACCATCCTAGACATATAGTCAACTGTTTTACGGTAAATACATTCGCCGTTCGTCATTTTACGGTTTCCTCACACTATTTTAAATTTTGTCCGGAAGAATCCGAAGTGTCACGCTTGGATCTCTCAGAGTCAGCGAAAAGGACAACGTTCAAATTTTTTCACTTTCTAGAAGCGCTTGAGGATTCTAAATGAAGATAAAATATTTCAAATAGAAATTGGTATTTTTCAAAGACAAATATGGAAAAATATCTGAATGTTGGACGCTTCGTTATTCGGAAACCGTGTCCGGTGAAAATTTTCTTAGTGTCACGGTTGGATCTCTTCTCACTCTGTGTACAAGGTCAGCGAAACGGACAACGTTAGAATTTTTTCACTTTGTAGAAGCGCTTCAGGATTGTAAATGAAGATAGAATATTTTCCAACGAAAAATTGGTATATTTGAGAGAGAAATATGGAGTTATTTGAGGACCGTGTCCAGCCGTGTCATTGAACAGTTTTTAAATGCCAAGCGTTTGGATGGCTTCGCACTCTGTATACAGGGTTAGTGAAAAACATCAAGTTCGAAATTTTTAGGCTGCCGGGAAGCACTTGAGGATTGTAATTAAAGGTAGAACATTTTCGTATAAATACGTTTTGGATCTCGAAGAGAAATATGGAAAAATATCGAACTGCCGGACGTTTAAGAATGGCTGCCTGTTAGGATCGAGAATCGTCCGTCAACGACCATTTTGGTGAATTGCTCATATTTTGCCCAACGACACCCTTTGGTAAACTATTTTCAAAAATCAAGTTTAAAAGTTCCGACGATTATTAAATTTTTAGAAATTGGCGAAAATTTGAAAACGCGGTTTAAGTGCGGTTTTCCGCCTATCAAATTGTCCAAAATTCACTGCAAAAACCAAGCTCCGTTGAAGGCTTAAAATGAATTCAATTAACACCAAACTTCACACGATATAAGAAAAAGCCTTTGAATCGGACCGCTTCCCTTCAAAAATACCACAAACGTTTGTGTCCAGAGCGAGCAAAATGATGTGTTGTGTAAACAAACGCTAATCTTATCATTCCTTCCCTGGTGGAAAAAGGTTTTAAAATAAACTTTAATTCTGGAAATGTTTGACTTGTATTCCACAAAATATTGAGTTATAGTGAAGTCGTACACTCAGAGTTGTGTGAGAGCTGAGAGAAAGCAAAATCACCGTCGAAAATGTTCTTACAGTCATTTCATCGATCACCATTACAAGTATTACGATTACGAAAATTGTGACAATTGATCAGTCTGTTGAATGACTCTTAAACATTTCAGCTGCAAGGGCTTTGTTTTAGTTTGTTTTAGATATATATGTATATATAAATCAAGAATTTTAGCGAATCCAGAAGGAGAACAGCATTCTTTACAAGCAGTTCAGTGTATTAACGCGAATTGTTCCTATTTATCATAATTAACCGACATCCGGTCCCAACAAACACTGGCCGCACCACATGAGACCCTAAATGGGCTGTCATCATGAAATATATAAAGGACTGAAAACAAAAACTTTACTCAATGTCTGATAACTACACGATAACACTATTATACT